CTCACTATCCCTGATGATGGTAACTGTATTACCGAAACTCATCCGACTAGTTACCGTAATCAAAGCTTTTCACTATCCCTGATGATGGTAACTGTATTACCGAAACTCATCCGACTAGTTACCGTCATCAGAGCTCCTCACCAGCCCTGATGATGGTAACTATGTTACCGAAACTCATCCGACTGAAATTTGTAATAAAGATTGTATCTTTCATTGTGCCGAAAAAGATCATCTTTCTTTATTAATCTTAAAATTGTAACACACAATGTGCCTGAAAAGAAATTGTAGTTGTAATATATTTTAAAATTACTTTCTGCGAAAACTGTTTTGTCACTATATTAGGATCAGGTTGGATTGCCTTCCGCCGAAATAATAGCTTAGACTCAAGTTAACATAAAATCCACAAGATGACGAAAACTGTTTTGTCACTATATTAGGATCAGGTTGGATTGCCTTCCGCCGAAATAATAGCTTAGACTCAAGTTAACATAAAATCCACAAGATGACGAAAGATGTTTTGTCACTATATTAGGATCAGGTTGGATTGCCTTCCACCGAGATAATAGCTTAGACTCAAGTTAACATAAAATCCACAAGATGACGAAAGATGTTTTGTAGGCCATTAATCGAGAAGAAAAATCCACAATTAGTTTGAATTGCATTGAAAATCGCTAATTTTGCTGGCCAAGTAAGATTAGTAAAATCACTGTCACGTTCTTGGAAACAGTAACGGAACATACAACTGATTGCTACATTATCATTTCTGAAGAGTCATTGCCTTTCAGAATGGAAATACACCATTATGAAACGGACAAGATCGGTACAAGGTTTGGGATTTTGTTTGCTTTTCTACAGGAATCGAAGACCCAGTTCTTGTCATGGAAACGTTTCACGTACAAATACACCATCTACAGAAGTTTACACTGTGAGAACAACACGAGTCAAGTGCCACGTGCGGTTTTCTTCATATTTGTACCCTATATGTATATATAATATAATGTCAGAGGTGAAACACGACTCTCTATTCATTCAATGTCCCCTAAAGTCATAATTTCCTCGTTACATCTGAAGTAGCCGGTTTTCAGCCTAGCTGTCTGCTACCACATGACATTTTTTTGTGATGCCCTATGCTTAATATATTTGGAGATAGTCAAATGAAGGCATCGATTAACACAGATGATCTGAAATTTTGGTATATTTTAACAGACCCTCACGAGCCAGTGGGGGACATTTTTCTTGAAACTTGAAAAAAAACTACCCAATTCGTTTTGGTTTTTGACTTGAGCTGAAATTTTTTGGACATTTTAGTAGCTAAAAAAGAAGGCATTTCCCGCACTCTTTTAGCGTTGGAGTTGCGAAAAGTGATTTGAAGTGTTAAGGTGACTGAAATCCATCAATACTTCAAGAGCTTAATGGCCAAGCGTACGAAGCATGAAAGTCTCCAAATGACACGCAGAGGTATTCAGGAACCGTTTAGAACCACCTTGGTAGATATTGTGCAACAAGCCGAGCACAATATTATGCCTGTAGGTGCTTTCAAAGTGTTCCTGTCTGCTCATCCTATTGACTATCGTGATGCTTCGACCTTCCCTACTGAATCGCAGGTGAAATCGTTCGTATCTCGATTGAAAGCTAAACATAAAAAGGTGATAGCAGAGGCATAAAAGGTTGGCATTTGCTTAATTAATGATGCTGAGAATGTGGCTTTATTGATGTATACTGGATTTACTCCCAGCGGGTAGACCTTGGTACTAGCTAGTATGGAGAATTGAGGACGCTGAATTTCACTTTAAAACTTATCAATTAACAAAGGAAAACGTTGGGAGTTTCCGGATTGAACTTATTTTTAATATTCAACAAATTGTAGTGTAAAGACAACCCTTGAATTTTGAGGGACGTGTTAAAACCAGTTCAATCTTTTCCCTCGACCAGCCTGTCATAGATTTCCTTGTAGTAAACGTGAAGATAATTCCTTCTCGATTTTTAATGTTGAGAGATTCTGATTATGTCTTTTTTTTAACAGCTCTTGCTTGTCGGGTATCTACTATCACGCCCCTTTATAAGTCGAAGAGGTCTTATCTCGTAACCATTCTCCAACGAAGTTCAAGTAATCGTCTGACGTCATGATCAGTCTACTTACCGTAGATAAATAAATGGAGTATTCTACAAATGTGTGAGTGAGGAGTCTACTAAAGTGAACAATACAGAAAGTTATTGTAATTGGCATTCATCTAAATTAATTATATCACATTAGTCAGCCTTGTCGTGGCATCATGATAAAATATAACGAAATATATATATATATATATATCAAGAAATGGATCAAGCTTGTTTCGTATTCCAATTTAAGCATGCAAATGAAAGATATATCTGCTATTTACTTTATGTCTGAACGCAGTATAAAAACAAAAGCAGTTCAGTACCACAAAACTGAGTTTCACCTACATTTTGAAACTTCGGAATCCGGTGGATTTGATGCTTCTAGCTTTTCTGTATCAGATGAATGTATTCCAGACTCACTTTCAGATGGACGTCGTGTTATAATTTCCTGATTAAATAGGGAAACAAAATATTACATGCTATGATTATAAATTACAAAACTAATTATAAATGTCACTTGCCATAATGAAAATTGATGTGAACTCATACAATTTAATGTTTTCTTCAAATTAGCGAGAACATCGTAACCACGATCATAAAATATGTATCAAAGTTTACGTCTTATCTTGCTATTTTTAAGTACAACAAACGCTGATAATGTGATATTCATTAACCTTCCTTCACTGAAGCATGTTTCTGAATTCGGTACATTTTAATATCAAAAATACCCGTAACTGAACGTACAATTAAAGAAACATAAATAACGTTTACTGAAAATAACAAATAATGCATCTTATGACTTATTATATATGTTCTTTAAAAAAAAACAAATTTTACTGTTGACAATGAAAAGGATACTCGATGGATCATTATTTATATATCTATTGTTTGTTTGTAATTAAGCACAAAGCTACACAATGGACTATCTGTGCTCTGCCCACCACTAGCATCGAAACCCGGTTTCTAGCGTTGTAAGTCCGCAGACATACCGCTGTGCTACTGGGGGGCTATTTATATATCTAACTGGGTAATGAAATGAAGTTCGTGCAGAGCTACACGAGGGTTATCCACGCTAGCCGTTCCTAATTTAACAGTGAGAGAAGGTAGCCAGTCAGCACATCTCACCGCCAACTTTTGGACTACCCTTTTTACAAACGAATAGTGCAATTGATCTTCACATTGTAACGCCCTCTCGGCTAAAATGTGATAGGTATTCGAACCCAGCCCCC